GAGATCGATGTCATCAAAGCTATTATGGAAACCCAAAGAGGAAACAAAGACCGAACCATCAATTCGTTGCTTCAGATGACGAGCGAAACTAATTAATTAATATACGTATGGATTGCCTTCCAATCTATGAAATATATGAATTCCATTTACATTCTTCTAAACACATCAGTCTTTGTTACAAACTTTGCAATTATGTTAGAGTTTAATATACTGTCAAATAGAGTATATTTTAATCATATTTTATTTGACTTTTAAAACAGATTTTGATTTTTGACTATAAATTATTATAAAATTTATATTTTGCTTTAAATTATAACTTAAAAGTATTACTATTTCAGTCATTAATTATATTAATATTTACAAATTTAATTTAATTACTAATTTGAATGTTGGTCTCAAATGTTCTCCATCTGAAACATGTATTTTGAATGTTAGTTGCAATCGGTTTAAATCCGACATATGCTGTACGTGTGATTAATGTAATCCAAATTGTAATTATTTTAATCGCGTTTTTATATTAATTTTTAATTTGTTTTATTTAATGGATTATTTGCAAAAATTCTTTGTATTTAAAATTCAATGAGTTTATGAAATTCATGTCTTTACTGATAAATATGGTATTTTTTGTCTTTTAAATCATGTATTTATCACTAATTTATCGTTTTGTTATAAATTGTAATAATTGTTATAAATATATGGAAATTTTATTATTTAATTGTTATATCAATACAATGTACTTAACAGGTACTCAAGAAGTAAAGTTTTGTGACAAATCTAACACACAATTTGCTAATTGTTTTTCAATATTAATCACTTATAAGTTATAACTTATTTCACATTTACGGTATTATGAGTTTTCATTGATTCTGATTTTGTTGTTGTTTTACAATTAGTCAGTAATTAATTGATACATAAATGAAATTAATTGTACCGTACAATATTCTTTAATTTAAAAATCAGTTTTATTTATAGCTTATTGTATTAATTGTATTAATTTTATAACTGAATTAATAATTATGTTGAACCTATCGCTATAAGCCGATTGTAATTAGATCTCTTAAGCAATGCTCAGAAATACAAATTGTTTTTACAATTTTTAAACATTTTTCAAACAATAAAATATTTGTTAAAAATTAATCATTAATTTTTACGAGCAATTAATTGTATCAATCAAACAATTGTCGCGCTTAACAATACAAATATTACTGTATATTCAATTCATATAACCGTTGGATTGAGTAATGATTTACTCATTTAAATGTTATCTCAATTTAAATCCATTCAATTAGACTAAACGAAGACATGTTAGGCGTTATATATTCAGTCTTTACGATTGCATTCTTCGGCATTCTTTCCATATCTTCTATTTATATGACTTATATTTTTGTCAGCAAAGCGTTTAAAGACAAAGACAAGAGACAAAGATATGCCACAAGAAATCGTATCCAAAGTGGTGGTCATGTGAATGAATACTTTGATATCGAGTCAAGTGATGGCAACGAAACCCCAAACACTTCGTCAGTCAGTAGTGATACCGAGGATGAGACAAACGAAGAGTGGACTCAACTCAAGCAGT